GCCAGCACAGCCCAACGGGTGGCCGTACCCCTCGCCCAGCCGGCCCGGCAGCACCGCCTTCCCCCCGGGGGGTGACGGCGAGAGCGGGGCGCAGCGCCGGGGTGTCACCCCCAGGTCCCACCCCGAGAAGGTGGCCCAGCGCAAGAGCTCCATGACGCAGCTGCAGCAGTGGGTGAACTCCCGCCGCGCCACCGGGCCCCCTGAGGAGCTGCGCAGGTGAGGGGTGCACCAGGATGCTCCTTTGCTCTGGGTTTGGTCCTTCTGGGAATGTTCTGCCCCTTCTCTTCTCATTTTTTTCTCTCCTTTCTTCTTTCTCTCCCCGTGCCAGCTCGGAGCTGGGCATGGGACATCCCCAAAAGCCAAGGAGGGTGGGTTGTAATGGGGGGTCCCTGGGAAGAGGGGGCCAGGATGGGGAAGCCACCACAGGGTCCTTTGGAGGAGGGATATGAGGACGGGAAGCCACCAGAGGATCTCTGGGACGAGGGATGCCAGGGCGGGAAGCCACCTCAGTGTCCCTGCAGGAGGGATGTGAGGAGAGGAAGCCACCACAAGATCCCAGAGAGGAGGAATTACATGAAGGGCAGCTCCTGTGGAGTCCCTGGGATGAGAGGGAACAGGAGGGGAGGCCACCACCTGGGATGAGAGGGAACAGGAGGGGAGGCCACCACGGTGTCCCTGGGAGGAGGAATGACAGGAAGCCACCTTGGTGTCCCTCAAGGAGAGATACAAGGAGAGGAGGCCACCATGAGATCCCAGAGAGGAATTCCATGCTGGGAATCTCCCATGGAGTCCCTGGGAGATGGGATACCAGGACACCGGGATACCAGGAAGCCACCTCAGTGTCCCTGCAGAAGGGACACAAGGAGGAGAAGCCACCATGAGATCCCAGAGAGGAGGAATTCCATCAGGGAACATTCCCAGAGTATCCCCAGCAGATGCAACCCCACAAGGGAAACTGCCACAGAGCCCCAGGCAGGAGGAATTCCATGAGCACAGAATCCCTGGCAGGACAAAAGCCACCCATCTCCGGTGCATTCCTGGGACAGCATCCCCGCTGTCCGAGCCACCTCCTCTCGCGCTGTCCTTGCCCACCCGGCTCTCACCTCCCTCTCCCCTTCTCCAGCCCCACCAGGTTTTACCCCGTGTCCCGCCGGGTGCCCGATTATTACTCGCCCTACTCGCCGCAGTACCCGGAGGAGTACCAGTACTACCCGCCGGGCGTGCGCCCTGACAGCATCTGCTCCATGCCCGCCTTCGACCGCCTCAGCCCGCCCTGGGCGCTGGAGGACAAACGCCACTCCTTCCGCAACGGTGGTCCCTTCCACCCCGCCTTCGGCCGCCAGGATGTCCCGCTGTGGCTACCAGCGCCCTCCAGGCCACCCAGCTACCTGGACGAGGTGGACGCGGCCTCGGGCTCGCTGAGGAGGATGTCGCTGCAGCCGCGCTCGCGCTCGGTGCCGCGCTCGCCCAGCCAGGGCTCCTACGGCCGCGCCAGGG